AAATAGATGCACATTGTGTTATTTTTACATTTTTTTCAGTTGTTTTAATAATTTAACATTTAAATTCAATTAACAGAACAGTAATATGTTAAATTAACACATGAATGTGTGGAATATTTAACACAAAAATTTTAACGGAAACCGTTTTTAACAAGAAAACACATTTTTCCACTATGTATTACATATCTGCGATATTTCACTAATATCAGAATATTTAGTTTTCTTTCCTTTATCTGAGAATTTTATAACAAAGTTTGACGAAGATAACAAATTTATATATGTACCTGGTAATAAGAGGTAGAACGAATTAAACCGAGGAGGAAAGTTCCTCTATTGTTTTGCAATAATTAATTTCTTCTTAATTTTTACGAAGCTTGCAAACTCGGTAAAAATTTTCTTATATATAATTATATATAAATAATTGTATAATTATAAGGGTTCATATATAATTATGTCAAATTATATATGAAACATATATATTTATATATATAAAGAAATACTTATTTATTATATCAAAAGCATTTTTATCTAATTATGTATGGACATATTTAATATATAATTTTGCGATTATAAATATAATTTTATATTTTCTATATAATTTTATATTATTATTATAAACAAATTTTTAACCGGAAAATGGACTTTTTAGATTTAATTCGCTCTATTTGCACGAGAGACGAGTTGATTATTATCGAACATCCCGCACGTAAATAAATTCATATATTTTATCCGTAGAATAAATTTTCAGAGACATTTCGCGTGATTTATTCTATAAGATTACAAAACACCACGGCTGGGGGATTAAAAAAAAAATACGTCGGAGCGTGGTATTATATATATATTTGCGGTAAAATCGAATAAGTCGACGTTTTCGCGTGTGAAGAGCGGGAGAAAGAGTCGACAGCGAGAATATAAGCTGTGAAATATCGAACACTTGGGAATATAAAAAAGCGATGCGTTACTTGCATGCAAACTTGTACTCATCCGCGTACAAAGCAACCCCTCGGACGCACACATTCATATTGATCGCAGCAACGACAGGATCCGCGGTGCACCTCTACTTTAACGTAGTGGTACACTTCACAAGCGCCGATAAAGAGAGAGGCGAGAGCGAGAGAGGGCTTTTACCAAAAGCGAAATCCTTTGATCGTGTTTGAGACAAGCCATCCGCGCAGTTTCGAGCGCTCGTTTTCCTCGAGAGAGCCTCACTTAGCAACCCGAGAGAGGAGATGAGGTCGATTTGCAATCGCTCCGACTGTCAGCCCGGAAAGTCAAAACGGCTCGAAAAATTCCTTCGACAGCTGGACCACCCCTTTTCTCGCGCCAATGATTGAATCGTCTTCTTATCGCTCGCGCGGAATTCCAAAAGTCGAAATGCCTTCCGATCGAAAATCGAATTTTAATTTTTTTTTGCAACTTTAATTTCGCAATAAATAAAAATATCTACTAAATTAATAAAAATTAAAATGAAAAAATTGAAATCAATTAATAAAATAAAATTGTTTATTGAGTTGTTTAAAACATAATGAATTTATAAGTTTATTTCTTCGAACAAATTTAGAGAATTTTCCTCTTAAACTAAGAGTATCCTGACACCCATAAATAAAAATACCTACTAAGTTAATAAAAATTGCAATATTTTCTAAATCCCCGACAAATTTCGAACACACGTCGAAATATTCTAAATTTTAGGAGAGAAAAATAATTATTCTGTTATTATACAGTTAATATTATATATTTCGAAAAGGAAATATTCTGTTAAATTATGGAAAAGGAGAGGAAAAATATTTTATTTGCGTAAAGATTGGAGATATGCGAATATATATTTTTTAATCTATTTCAAGAAATTATTAAATATGTATATGAAGCAGATAACAAAAAATATGATAAATCGTTGAAAATACACACATCAAAATAATATAGAAAATTAATGAATTCATGGGTTACGTATTATATTCTTTTGTGAAGAAATGTCTTCTGATCAAAAATTCGAAATTGCGAGCAATATTTTCTAAATCCCTGACAAATTTCGAAGACACGTCGAAATATTCTAAATTTTAGGAGAGAAAAAAAACATTATTTTGTTATTTATTTCGAAAAAGAAATATTCTGTTAAATTGTGGTAAAGGAGAGGAAAAATATTTTATTTGCGTAAAGATTGGAGATATGCGAATATATTTTTTAATCTATTTCAGGGAATTATTAAATCTGCATATGAAACAGATAACGAAAAATATGATAAATCGTTGAAAATACATATAAAAATGATATAAAAAAATTAATGAATTTATGGGTTACGTATTATCTTTTTTGTGAACTATAATGGATATTTTTACAAACTTACACGACTGGATTTGATAATCCTTTATAATTTTGTGCAATTAAAAAATATTTTGTGTTATTTTAATTTTATTTTTCTCGCGTATTTTAATTTACAACAGTATTAATTAGTAGCATACAAAAATTTGTATTTTATCAAAAAAAGTTATACTATCGAAATGAAATATGAAATTTAACCGTTTTCCACATCATTTATACACATATTTACAGCTAATACTGAAACGTTAATTGAATTTAATTGAATTGTAAATCTACACAGTTTTTCAATATTTTTAAAGCGTTTTTCTCGCCGTTCGTTTTTAAAATAAATAAAACCCGAGATATTACATGAATTTTCGAAAATGTACGATAATTTGGCAAAATAAAAGTAGGTATATTCAATTTCAATTAAAAAAAAAAATCCCACAAATTCCATTATTCGCTGTATATATTTATATGCACAGCTATTTAGGCTCATTATTATTTTTCGCTTTCATTTATCTTGTAAAGCGTTCGCGCACAACGTAGTATATATGTGTGTATGTACAACAACGTGATTAAGCGATGCCGAGATTTCCGCAATACGGAGCTGTCTGTATATTATCGTAGTAGATCGATCTACTCTCGTGCTCACAACACGAAGGAGATTGCAATTCGCGATAATTCGCATCTGGTTAACGGCATAATTCGTGGATTCTCCACTTCGCATCTTCTAAGACAAAGGTTAATTCGCATCTATATATGCACGTACGTCTAACTCCTTTGACCGCAGGTATCTAATCCAACATTGAACATTGAACATGCCATCCCAATCGCACGCGCTGCGCTTAATAGACTATATGTGGGGGATGTAATTAATCCACCCTGATTTCTCCGTTTCCTCCCCAAGCAGCCTTCCTTATGTTCGGGGTTTCGAGAAATTTTCCTCCTTCGACTAATCCGCCGCCGTCTTGCAGCGGAGAAAATTCGAAGATGCACATAATATTTTACCATGACAGAGTGTCTAGCCATTTTTGAAATCCTTGAAGCCCTTGAAATATTCTGGAATTTTGTTTGTTCTTTAAAAATCCTGGAAATGTAGTACTTCAATTTTTCGTAGATCCTTTATTTTTTAAACATTTAACTTTAAAAAAGAGCAGTCGAGATTATTCGAGTAAAAAATATTTCATCTTACTTTACAAATAATATAATATATCAATATACGATATATATATATATATATATATATATATATATATATATTATATAATATATTTTTATAAACAATATATTTTTTATTTAAGAGTCCAAAAATATATGTCACTCATAAGTGATTTTATAGATTTTAAGCGTTCAAAATATAATATAAGAGAATATTGTATTGAATATTTGTAACGCATACATTAATTTTCATCAACATGCAATTATATACGGACTTGATAAAGAAAATAAGGTTTTCAGTTTCTTGTACATTAATGTACATCTTTATTATATAAAAATAAAAAATTATTTGAAAAATCGAAATAGGAAATTATTTGAAAAATATTAATTGGAAAATCGTGCAAATTTCCTTGAAATATTTCATTTTTAAACTTTACTAGACACCCTGCATGAATTTGTAGATTAATATGGAATTAAATTTCGATCAAAGTTTCGGAAAGGACATTTTTGCTTTATATATTATTTCATCCGGTTACAGTTGATCATCATCGGGGCGGATATCTAGTAAATAGTGAAATTGAGAGGAACATCGATCGTTATTATTCTTGGTCGTTATGATAACAGCCTTTATCGCGTTCGAAAACCTGCATGTAATTAGCATATTAATTCAAAATAATATAGCGAACCTGATTATAATATAATAATTCAGTATAATGTGTCGTTTAATACGTACTGCTGATTTATTTTACTTTGCATTATCAACATTATGCTCTTTACGTAATATTGCATAATTTATTTGCCCATTTAAATCAATTGCAGAATGAATGCATAGAGCATTAAATAGGCATTATCTAGACATTAAGCGATCCTGCAATCTGTTCCCATTTAATTTGCTATTTTGATTTAACGACAACAGTTATAATAAATTATAATATTCTAACGATGCACATCTTTTATATCTTATATTCAAATAGAAAGGTATTGACGATAAAATATTGAATCTGAAAAAAATTTCGGACAAGATAATTTTAATGAAAAATATTTGATTAAATTTGATGGCAGCATAGAGATATTTAAAATATTTAAAGGTTTATTTTTTCATCTCGTCTGACAAGAAAATAACAATGACAAGGTAGAAAACTATCTACATTTTTTAGTTAAATGGATAATCTATTTTTTATACATACTACATTAAACTCGAATTGGAATTTTTCTCCTATTTTTATTATATAAATTTTTCATGTAACATTTACTTTGATATGTTAAATTGTGTTAGTTTACACTCTCTGTTTTTAAAACTTTCTCTTTTAAACTACGCGAAAAAAAATTTATTGAATTCGAATAAATATTTATTTCAATATTGCCTATAATAAATCATTTATTTTATTTAAAATTAATAATATTGATTTGATGTAAAAATATTTATTTTTTGATATAATGAAATCCTTTTCAAAACAGACAAATATTCATTTGTTTCAAATAAATGATTTATCAGGCAGAGTATATAAATAAATATTTATTAATTTAATAATTTTCTTTCGCTGTATTTAACCTATAGTTATCTGTATATTTAAAATTATTTGTTTATTGCTTATTCGAGATACAAAATAGGAGCTTAATTTCTGTTTATAAGTTAATCATGTGGAAACCTTCTAGAAATCGTAAAAAAAACGAGATTGAAAATAGGAGAAAAATTTCGACTTGAGTAATAATATATTAAATAATAATAATAACTTGAGTTCATGTACGCTTGATTGACACAAGATCTAAACATATTTGACGAGTCGTATATACGGATCCGCGATCATTTTTCAAATGGATTCGATGCACAGAAGAAAATAATTGAAATCTATTTGTCAGTTTCTGACGGCGAATCCATCATCCGTGTTCGAGAGACGGCCGAACTTTCGCGTTTTACGTAATTTTTTCGCAAGCCTGCGACTTCTCCTCTTTATCCTCCGGAATCGATGCGCACTTATCGCGAAAGTACACAAGTCGGGTTAACATGGAGACAATCGACGGGATCTGCTTCTTCCCGTGGAATTTCTCGTTCTGCGGCACGTAGGATTGATACTCGATGGCGACGCGTCGATTCACGAAAGTCATTAGGCTGAGTAGATCCCTCCTTCGTCCGTGAAGATCCAGTTCCTCGCAGAGCGCCTGTATGAACCAGGAGCCCACGTCCGGGTTGCGCCACGAGTAAAAACCTGAAAGTAACGCGCGGTTTACTCACGGGGTTGCGGATAGTGGATTACTATCGGCTTCCGAGTATATAATGAGATACACTTCGCGAAACGGTGCTTCTTCGGTGGCCGGGCTCTCGATAAGGTGGGTGCATCAGCGAATGACCCATGACCCGTGTGAAAGGGTAGATAGGTTGCTAGGTAATATGAGACCGATCAGAAATTTAATACCTCGGCGAGCTGAAAGTAATATATCACGTGTATACGTCAATTATATGCGCACGATGCGCTGTTAATATTAATGTGCTAATTATTTTGCTTCGTCAAGCCTTAAACAGGATTGCCATAGACCTGGAAAAGCGGGAAAACTGGGAAAAGTCATGGAATTTTAAATTAGTCAGGGAAAACCTAGAAAAATCAGGGAAATATGTAAATGAACCTGGAATTTTAAACTTTGCTCATAAATGCTCAATATTATTGCATTTCCAGACGACAGCCCGAAAATAAGGAATAACAAAAAAGTAAATTGAATAAAAATATTTAATAAAAGATATATTTTATAATGTTTAATTTACGTTAAAAAAAATATAATTTAAGTCTTTATAAACCTCTAAAAATATTTCCCATAAATGCTCAATATTATTGCATTTTAAATATTGTTTTTAAAATATATATTGAAAATTGTTCCTTTTCTGAAATTTAATGTAGAAATTAGATATATTTACCAATGTCAAGTTTATTTCAATTTTAATATTTTTAGAGGTTTATAAAGACTTAAATTATATATTTTTTTAACGTAAATTAAACATTAAAATATATATTTTATTACATATTTTTATTCGATTCACTTTTTTGTTATTCCTTATTTTCGCTGTCGTCTGGAAAATATGGAAAAGTTAGGGAATTTCAAAATTAATTTTTTGTGGCAACCCAGCTTAAAATATTCACGTAGGAAAATTTGTGTTTTCTTGTTAAAAACGATCTCCATTAAAGTTTAACACGAAAAATTCATGTGTTAATTTAGCATATTGCTGTTGTGTTAATTGAACTTAAATCTTTAATTGAAATAATTGAAAAAAATATGTAAAGATAACGCAATGTGCATCTATTTTCTTTATACGCAATAAATATGTTCTGTTTCATTAATGACAAAATTTATTTTATAATATAAGTGGGGATGTTAAAATCTACAATTAACATATTTTTAATTAAATTTTACATTAAAACTGTCTTAATTTTACACAAAATTTATTTTAAATTACTTGAAGTTTTCAACTTATTTTGTATTAAAATATTAACATAACATATTTACATTAAATTAACACAAAAATTTCTGCGAAGCATTTGGGACATGTGATATCTATTAAATTTAACACAAATTTTTCAGCTATGTAAGGGCAATTTTTAACGATCAATTATTTTTTCTCTCGATTTTATTTAAAGAAATAATAATAAAATAAAAACAAATATTTTTCGCACAAAACAGACAACTGTAGCGATTTTATATATCTTAGTAATACTTGGAAAGATTTTCCAAATTTCGTAAAACGAATTAATTGAGGTTTATAGCGCCGTCAGATAATTCGTGTCGCGTAGATTCGTTACGACTTCAAGTTAACCCTGTCCCTAATAAAAAGTTGCGACTTTCCCCGGGTAATAAGTTTAGATTAATTTCAACTTTCCGCGCATACACGAGCAACAGCATACTCCTCGCTAATTGTGTTGCACGGAACACAGGTATATTTTAACCTGAAATTACGAAGTTACTCCGACGTGGCATTTAAACTTCTTAGGAAAGCCGCGTATCCTACATTTAGATGGCGTCCTGTTTTAGGCCTCGCCTAAATGAACGTGGAATTAAGCAAACTAACTAATGGTAGAGACAGAAACACGACTAACGTGAAAATGATATCTTATCGTTTTAGGTTTATTTTGGATGAATTAATATATATTTTCACGTTAAACAATTGTTACACCACTCTTTTTCATTTAGTCGACGACTTTGTTTATTCGTGCGTAACTTTAATCACTCGAAAGTGCATATTTCAACTCGATATTCAATGCCTATATATACGCAGTTTTCGTTAACTATGTGAAATCGCAAGCGGAACAAACACAATTATAGACATGAAACTTTCAGCGCGGATAACCCAAGCGGAATAAACGCGCGACGCCTAAAATAGGCCAGCGGAAGTGGTAATAATTTTTGACGATATCGCTTATACTTGTTTATATATACTCAACCTTTAGACCCACTTGCATTACGACTGATCCACTACCAACGCCTCAATGCCTATTATTAGTTCAGGATCAGATTAGTCTCCCCTTCGCAGTATGGATTACGCGGATAGAATTGCTACGTTCGCGATTCCTTGATCTAGTAGGATTACTTTGCATATATACATTGCAGAATGCAGGTACCGGTGTTGTTACGTTTGAAAACTGTTCAATTATTTTGCCTCTTATTTCGCTATTACTTTTGCTCCGATACGAGTTCATCATCAATTTTAAGCGCTTCAACGAATTCGATTTTCTCGATGTCGAACTACTTCGTCGAGTCTACGAATAAAAGCGCTTTTAAATTGCGCAATATATATACGACAGTTGAAAAATTTGTGTTAAGACAGATATCACATGTCCCAAATTTTTGTGTTAATTTAACATAATACACTGAAAAAATTTGTTAAATTAACAAATATTTAGTTCAATACGTTCAAATAAATCATTTATTTGAGACAAATAAATATTTATTTGTGTCATTTATTTGAGACAAATAAATATTAATTTGTGTCAAATAAATGATTTATTTGAACGTATTGAACTAAATATTTGTTAATTTAACAAACTTTTTTTTCAGTGTGGATATATGTTAAATGGAAACACAAATACTGTGTTAAATTTTAATGCAAAATAAATGTAATACTTCAAGTAATTTAAAATAAATTTTGTGTAAAATTAACATGGTTTTAATGTAAAAATTAACTAAAAATGTGCTAATTTTAGATTTTATCATCCCCACTTATATTATAAAATAAAAATCAACATTTTTTCTGTAAATTTTAACAGATAAATCTTGTCACTAATAAAATAGAACTTATGTAAAATTAAAATAGATGGACATTGTGTTATTTTTACATATTTTTTCAGGTGTTTTAATAATTTAACATTTAAGTTCAATCACAACAGCAATATGTTAAATTAACACATGAATATGTGTTAAATATTTAACACAAAAATTTTAACGGGGACTATTTTTAACAAGAAAACAAAATTTTTTTTACTGTGTATGTACGCGATACATTTAATTGGACGTTTACGAGTATATGATTAAGTATTGCGGCGATTCTCTCGAAATTCGTTGCGCCTGTAAAAGGCAAGTAAGTTGCATTGTAAGGTTCGAAGTGTCTTACAAGAAGAACACGTTGTTAGAATAGGTAAAAACTATATTTGCATCTGCTTACCATTCGAGAATATGTAAGAGAAATCGATTTCTTGATGTATTCTGACAACGTGTTCTCCTTAAATGGCGTATACAACGTGTGCTAGATTCTTGCCGCGGCTATTTTCACCTCTTGTGAATTTTATTATCTCTAATACACGAATATCTATTCTTCTTTAAATCGCGAAAATCTAACTGGCAATTATTTCGAAGATTTAAGCGTATTTGGATGAACGAGGATAGAAACCTTTCGATTTAATTTTCAGACATTTACTTTTGACACAATACTTTAATAATATTAAATTGTTTAAATTCCAAAAATGTATATCAAATGTCAAAATTGTTTAAAGAAGGGGATGTAAATTTATCGAAATTCAATAACGCGTGGACGCGATAATTTTTGCACGCAATCACTTATAAATCATAGTTATCGATTACTTTGGCTTGGGATGCGAGAATCTTGAGCGCAATGTGATGTGAAATCGGGGTGTTAACCGGACGTACACGTATACTCGATGATGTATTAACCATATGTTCCTGGATAGCGAAGTGTTAAATGCACGTCCCCCTATCGCCATCGGTATGTTAACTATGCTCTTATCTTCTACATGGCATATTAACGATGCCTTTATCGTCGAGCCAGGTGTTATCCACGAATTCAGTATTATCTACATTATTAACAATATATTCACTTCCTCTTGGACAATACATACATAAAATTAAACAATCATATATAGTAGGCCAACTAAACGAGCAAATAAATAAGATGTAAAAATTTTTTTTATATTAATAGTTAATCATTAAATTAACATTCCGTTACAGAATCGATATAAATTGTAAACGTTTCGACTGCACTACAGTCTTTATCAATACATAAAAATTAAATATTAAAATATAAAGTTAGATGTTAAAAATACAAAGTTAGTTAAATATTAAAATATAAAATTGAAACGATTCTTCGCTGTTGACCAATAGATATGCAAGGCGATTGGTCTGAGATGCCAAGTTATGCGATATTTGAGCATGCTACGGATATAATACGCGAATTAAATCAATGTCAGAAAAAATTAAAAAATCTTTCAACTTACATTATCGTTTTAACAAGTCCTTTTCCCCGATATTTCAAGTGTGTGTTGCGAAGTCTGAATACCAAATGTCAAAATAGAGAGCGTGATGTATTTATTTATTACCAATGTTTTTTCTAAATTATGATTCAGCAAATTTTTTAAGTATGTCAAAATAACTACTGTCTAACAATTCGGTGTCTGTATTTAAATTAATTCCATTTTTCTGTTCTTTAATGTGGATCATTTCAGATATTAGTCTTTTTGGTAATTCTTTTCATGATCCATAATTTTAATATTGTCCCAGTCAAATGTATGTTGTTCGTTTAGAATGTGTTCCGTGATAACCGAATGTCTAGCAGAGTCTAATTTAATATTATTTTTATGTTCTTTAAGTCTCGTTCCTAACTGTCTTTTTGTCTGTCCGACATATGTGGCGTCACAATCGTTGCAATTCAATTTGTAAATAACGTTAGAATTCGTGGGGCAATTATTTTTGTCCTTTTGAACTCTTATGAAGTCATTTAATTTTTTAATGCAACGATATCCTACCACTACGTCAGGTCTTCTTATTGCTGAAGCAACTTTCTCAGATATTGATTCTATATATGGTATGACAAAATATTTAATGTTAGTATTAGTATTATTAGTATCTGTTATATTGTTATTATTAGGCTTGTTAAATTTCTTAGTTGAGAGATTTTTTAATCTGCGTTTTATTTCTGTGAAAATTAGATCAAGAGGATAACCGTTGGATAGCAAAATGTTAATAGCTTTCTCTATATTTTTTTTGTGAAATTGCGGATGTGATAGTAATAAAGCTCTATCTACCAAGTTATAAATTGTTCCTATTTTATGACAAGTCGGATGATTTGAAAAAAATGAAAGTAATCTACCTGAGAATGTCTTTTTGTGATACCAATCTAAATAAATTTTGTTATCTATTACTTTGATCATTATGTCTAAAAAGCTTATACAACGATTATCCTCCTTTTCCAATGTAAATTGTAGTCTATCGTTATAATTGTTGAATTCGTTCAAA